ACATCGCAGCTTAAAACAATGAGCACGAATTTGAACTGAATCGGCAATTAAAACTGCAGACTCTGGCGAAATTAGATACGCCGGATATAATTTCAAAATTTCGTCCTGTTGCTATTTTTCTTGTTGACTGGATACAGTAGTTCATACTTAATTTGTAGGAATGTTTATGATCTGTCTTTATAGGAACTTTTGTTTTATTAGAGTCAGTGGTCCATTATTTATCGCTGATAAACTGAAATCTAAATGAAAATTCTATGAAGAAAAGATTACCTTAATCGAGATTCGTATTTTTCGAACATCTATCAGCTTTTACGTAAAAGTAATTTCGTCTACTGTAGCCTCTTGTTTTGCTGGTTCAGAATCTTGAAAGCACAAGATTGGGATGGCCTCTGACGACATAACGTTCATCTCAAATTTCGTTAACATTTTTAATTTGGTCTAAAAGTTGAAAGGCGGGACACACAGAGACACGGACAACATGGTGATATAAGCCGTGGTTCTTTTTTAAGGCAGGAAATAGGCTAAAAAGACTACTTCTGTACGCCATACTTCAAAGTAGTTTCTTGGGAAACTGCCAGGCTCTTTGTTCTATGTGTGTGACAACTTCAGAACTTTAGCAGAGCTTTATGCATGCTTGGGTGAGGTCACTACTTGTTACTCTTCTTGTCTCAGCTATTCACCACCCTCAAGACATTTAGACTATCTGCTATGCTGCTGAAATAATCGCGTTTCTGATACTTTTTAACTTGCATATAATAAATCGATTGAATCATTTCAAAGTTTCGCTTGATATTTTGTATCCCGCGAAAGTTCATTCCTCGGTATTCTTGCAACCATTCACTGCAGTGAAGATTATGATGATGGCGTTCTTCTGGGGTGTGACGCCGTGTGAATTCGTGTACATATACCAACGTTTCGGAAGAACATTGTTTCCATTTTCAGCCCTGAAGATGTAGAGAGTGTGTTTCTCCAATCGCTGGTATCTGCTTACCAGTCCAAACGGCGTCACAATCCACAAGAACATCGTCATTATTTCATTCTTTTTCACTTTCGGAAATCTGTTTCATCGTCTCCCACATGCATACAAAAGTACTACCTGTCCCGCCTATCTCATCCTTCTTGACTTAACATCTCAATATTTTGTGAAAAGTAGAAATTATGAAGCTCCTAATTATCCAGTTTTGTCCAGCCTCCCGTCACTTTCTGCCTCTTTGGTCCAAATAATCTCAGCAATAATTAGTCGGCTTTCGATAGAAAAAAGGTGCTGCGAAAGACAGAAGCTGTGATTGCTTCTCCACAGATTTTTTTCACACGTTTTATATCCTGATCTGTGTTTCTAAGTCTGTCTGTACTTGGCCTTCCTCTGTGTGTCGTGTTATTTATCTGTGTTCTAATAGTTTATGAACTCGAGAAACCATCCTGATGAGAGACTTTTCTGATGTACTACACCATCCTTACTACCAAAAAATATGACATCCTTCCGAACTTTAAAGAGAGCAGACCTATGTTATTCACTATGCGGTTCTAATACAGTAAGAAATAATTGCAAGTGGTGAAGTCTTTATTTTGTGCATTATTTTGTGTAGTACGTTACTTATATGAAACGAAAGACCATCAATGTTACACATAGATTTTGGACCGTATTATGTAAAAACTGTATTACATGTTACGACCATTTTCATCATCTGGTGTACACTCATACAGACACACAGAAAAGACACTATTGAATTAATAACCTACATGCTTAACCTTATTAGACTCTATTCATTTCAGTAGGTTTTACAGATGCTGGTGTATTTATTGCATATACATACTCGTACATACAACGCCGGGAGTCCCTCAATGTTGCAGGTAACACGGAAAGTATTAAAATGTTGAGGTTTTAAAGTAAGACTCCAAATGCCATTTAATGTTGTCGGTAGTTAGGTCTTGAGGCGTCGTGTTGCGTGGACTGAGCCGATTTTTTTTTCTTAGCGTGGTTTGCCGCGGATACCAGTCGCGACGCTTGGCATCACTTGGAGTGTCATCTTAATGCTAGGCGTCGCTTGCTAGTGCATCGCGTGCTTTGACGTGTTGTGGGTCGGAGATACAACAGACGTGGATTAGTATCGTGTGGTTCGACTTGACGTGGGTGTCTTGACTTATTTTGGTGCAGTTTGTCTTGGCCTGGCGAGGCTACACTTGTGATGGTTATTGCGTGGCTCCTCTCGACGTCGCTTGCTTCGTAGTCGCGAGAATTCGTGTCGCGTTGTACGGTGTTAGTTGGGTCATAGGGTGGATAGGGATCGCGTGTCTCCTCGTCGTGACCATCGGCGTCGCTTGACTTGGATTCACATACCAATGCTTCATTGTGCTCGTTCTTGCATGACTTGGCTTACCAAGGCATGCATCTGGCGTGCATATGAATCGATTATCTCGACGAAGTGACATGCCATCGCGACGCTTTGCTTCGTAATTGTCTAAATAGCCTGAAATGGCATCGCTTGGCACAACGTCGCTGGTCTTAGTGTCTTGTGGCTCGATTTCCGGTTGCTGTGAGTTCCGCCGCCTAGAGTCGCCAGGTAACGGATCACGTTCCTTGTTGTCGCGAGGGCAGGAGTCGCGTCCCTATCGTCGTGTCGCACAGAGTAGCTTAGTTCTGGGTTGGCTAGCCTTGGATTTTATTTGCTGGCGTGGCTTCAGGACCCGTGGCGTGTCCTGTTCTGGTTTGGCTTGCTTTCGCGTAGAGTGGCTTGGCGAGACGAGATACGGCGTCACTTGGATAGACGTCGCGACGTCCTGTGCCATAATCTATTCTGATCCATTTGCAGAATTTGATGATTATTCCTGTCAGTATTATAATGAACTGTAATCTACTTTGCAACCTGGCGTGTTTTGGGTGGCTGCAACACCTGTAAAATGTGGGTTTATTGCGAATGCGCTGGAATTTCAAGAGGACACAATTGTTTGTGATATTTGCGAAGTTGGAATTCGTGAAGATTTATTTTACCTACAGTGTGTAGATTGTGTATTGTTGAATGGTTCAGTGTGTTCTTTAACAGCAACAAACTGTCATTATGTAATGATGCTTCAAATATTTGTACTTAAATGTATCATATTTAACTTTTTTCAGTAACGAATTACAACTCTGTCATATTTCCTTTACAATATCTATACGACACACTGAACCGTTTTGTAGAAACAGAAAATTTTCATATTTATCGTTACCTTTAGTTCAGTGCATCGTACTTTCTTACGTGTTTGAAAAAAATGGCTGCCTAATGTGGCACCTAATCTTATATTTGGAAATGGTGTATCTTTTATACACAGTTTCCCTAGGCCAGACTACAAATTTATGATTGATTTCGTTTGTACCACATGAGAATACTGAGATATATATACTTTAGTAAGTTCATTTTTCGTATCTTTAATTCTGTATTTTCAAATATACAGTTTGCGTTTATTATATTACATTGACATTTGAAATTGTAGTAGCCAAGCCATTTAGGCCAATTACATTTCATACAATACATAGTCATGCTCATGAGTTGCAGTTGTATGTAATTTTGTTTGTAATGCAGCCGTGGACTGTATGTTCGCAAATTCTTCCTCGCCGTTTCTTTTGTTCAAAGATGCAGAAAATGTCGCTCTATGATGACATGTCGGAAGTGTTCGAATGACTGAGGGTTCACGATCCTCACCTAGTGAGCCCTGACTAAGTGCTGTAGTTTTGTGACATGGAGAGTAGGAACATGGGGCACACAGGCCAAGACAGCGGCGAGCCGCGTCTGCGCGTTTGTTCTCCATCTGAACGTCATTCCTGTAGTAAACGCGGTGCCTCGGTGCTGCGACTATCCTACACAACAGCCTGTCTGGATTCATCGAACTTGCCCTCCCCTCCAGCTACCACATGCACTAGACATTTCCATTGCTCCCTCCTCCAGCCTTTATTGGTGTATTTTTTTCTACACTATTGTGATCCGTGGTAAAGATTTTGGACAGGTTGCGTGTGGGAGTGACATTGTATTAGAACAAGGAAAACCAGTATTTTGGTGTGATCGTTGGTTTAGATACAATGGGTGGTAATACAGAAGCGCCTGCGCGGGGCGTCGTATGGGCAACCATATCTCCTCTGCTCTCTCTAGCTCAGGACTGCTCCAAGGGGTTAGTTGGTTGCCAGTGGGCGCCATGTTTTGTAATGAATGTGTGCTTCAAGAAATGAGAAATAGTATTTATTAGTATGAAAAATGGGGAACATCTTTTTGAATGTGCGTCTCATTTACAATGTTATGAAGGTGAAAGATCAATGTGAAACATGTCATGCATTTAACCTACGGTTGAGTGTGTTTTAGAAAGGGGCAGTGATTTTGATTTTGTTTTCTTCAGTAATATATTATACTACCATAATGCAGTATTCGAATTTGTGTAGTGGTCACAATATTTGCTACTACCTGCCAAACTCTTGCTCTTGCTGCACGAAGGAGAGAGTGAATTCTGTCATTTCATCGTCTTCGGCTTTTCCTACGTCTGGGGTTGATAACAGTGTTACAACCACCCCAGCTTTAATCCCCATTCTTCCACAGTCATGCCTGCCACACCTTGCTTGAAATGTTACTGATGTTACGACGCAAAATATATGGTAATGATGAAGCTACAGACTCACCAGCAACGACAGGATAAATCGCCTAAAATCGTTTATCGCCGAGAAAACACGTTAATTCCTATACTCTTCAGGAATGATGTAGGGCCTAATTAATATGGGCAATATACATTGATTTAATTTGGGCCTATTAATGAGGTAGACGTTTGTAATATAATTAAGAAAAAATAGGCCTAGTACTGGATATTGGTGCATTATGTTTGTGCATAGAAGATAATTATGGTACAGTTACTGGATGCGAAGTAAGCCTGCAGTGTTTTACCAAATGAAGTGCTGGTGCTACAGTGGTGCGATAATCGTCAACATCGATTTTTATTTGGATATACATTAGTGTACTGAACAAAAGGATCTTGTTCTGCAGACCCAGCCATGGCCGTCACGTCGTCATCTCAACCCCAGAACCTCCTCCTGCAGCAACCTCGTTCGACTTTAAGCTGCTTTGTCGCCAGGAACACGACTGCCTTCACGGGACACCACAAAGGTAGGCCGGTGACAGTTTCATAGAGAATTTATCTTGTTTCATTATTTTGGATACAAAATTTAAAACGAAATAATTCTAATTGTTTGCATCTTTGTGCCATTCTCATCGTGTTTGACGATTACTATTGTTTCCTGGGACGAAACAAATCATCCAGCTTCTTAATCGGCTTCACTTCATGCACCTTCATTGCTGATCTGTAACCCACAGAAGGTGTCTTGATTATTTCAGTCCGAAGGGAAAGTGTGTACTGTCCAATGTGTATAATGTTCGAAGAAGTTGATGAAAATTTTTCAGTGGATGTAAACGTTATTAATGGGCACACATACATGTACAAAACTGTAGAACACCTTCCATGTTTTTGCTGCTTGAGGTATGGCGTTTCTTATGAAGATGACTGACGTTAATAATAAGGTGTGGGACTAAGAGAAAGAGACAAGTTTAAATTTTGTTATAAAATGGTAACGATTCCGTTTATATTGAGGCGAAACTGGGTTAACAAGAACACAAATATTCAGATGCCCGCTTAACACTGATTTATTGCTGTCCATAGTTTTATATATGAATTATCCCTCGCGCTACACTCTTACTATACAAAACATTTTTATGTTTCTCTATTATCTCGTACCCTAGATCAATTGTTACAGCCTAGTAATTTTATTCTCTCATTTGCATCTTGTTTTGTGTAGCTTTTTGTTAATATTTATTGTCAATTATGTTAGTATGATTTATTTCCTTATAGGCCAAATGCTCACCTATTATCATCTATATATTGCATAGAAACGTTTGCACCTCTTCGTTTCCACATACTATAATAATATGTATCTAGCATCTATGTTCTCTTTCGGAGGGCATCTTCCTTTCCCAAATCTTATAATCCCTTTCATCTACTAAATTACTGCCTTCAGCCATGCTAATCTACTTCTCTGATTTATAGTACAGCAGTAAGTGTGTATCTGCATTGCCACTTCGAATAAAACACCGATGAAACCCAGTACCATGCCCCTTCTGTGATCTATTCCGTCTCGGTTAGGCCACACCGTTTGCTTCAAATCTAGATATCTTTAATACCTCTTTACAAAATATCTCCTTGAAACCCCACATTTCCACATCTGTTTAGACTCACATAACGTCCCATAACCTGTTAAATCTTCACCTATCTGTTGTTCTTACTAAACACCAATAACTGTTAAGTCTGGTTTCAGTTTTTTGTTACTCCTAAACAGTGTATTCCATCTACCACTTCCGTTATTTCATCGTACGTTATTCATAAATATGAAATATTTTAGAAGTCTCAAGAGACTTACAGTGGACAAAGTTAAAAACAGATGCAGACCTGTAGGGAAGTAAACAGACACGCGTATTCAATAAACGGAAGATTATGTAGAGGAAACTTTTAGCACGAACATAATGAACAATGGTTGAATCCCGAACGTCATTATAAACCGGTGTCAAGGCAAAGGGATGTAAGTCCTGAAAGTTCCAAAGAAACACGATATTCAGAACATTCTAACAAATCATAATATGTTGTAGCTGTTGCAGATATTTTAATTGCACGCCTGTCCATGTGGGGTTTTGACCACTACAAATGCTTTGGTTTGCGAAACATATTAGCTTGTACTGATTTTGTAAACAGTTAATATTACAGTGTTATTTACTGATTGGTACAGATTGTCGTATAATTCTTGAATATCGAATACTGTTTGTTCTATTAAGATACCAGTATTTTTGTTTGCTTATGGTTAATGCGAATTTATATATTTGCATCCCAGAACAGTGAATTTGAGGTCACAGACTTCAGTTACTTGATTAGCAGAAAAATAAACACGTGAATTTAATTTGATTACTGAGATGTTCAGTGGCACTATCATCCGTTAAAAATGTCATGTACGGTAGAATTATCGTGGATATCAGGAACCGGTTGTGGCTTATTCTAAGTCACTGCCTTATCATTCTTCTAGAAAGACTGAAAATACTACGTGTATGTATATATATATTTGTAACTGCTTGTGTCGGAATTCTACAAGGAAATTGAAAATTACATAATATATGTTGCACTTATACTTGATTTTATGGGCTGTTTGCACAGAATATTTGAAATGAGCGCACAATGGGCGGGTTGATTTTGCCATCCGCCATATTTTACTTAGGTACAAAACTACTCGACAGGTGTCTATGAAATTTTACCTTATGGGTCTACACTAAATATGTTCAATAAAATCTTCTCGGGCAATCAGCCGCGTCATCTGGTTACGGTGACCAGAGAAGATTTTATTGATTGTACTCGCCGTGAAAGTCTCAAATCCTAAAGATGTTGGTTAATATCTGTCCAGTTGGAAATGATACGAAATTCGTATCTAAATTTGTCTATTTTATGTAATAGGATATGAAGGCTCGTCCTACGTGGAAAAAGACCATACTAAGATCTTCAAATTTTAATAGAAATCAGAACATGAACATTTCTTGTACGTTCAGGTGAAGGTATTTTTCTTAGGGGCCACAATACTACAATATCTGCAGGCCAGCCACTTGTCAGTTGTATTTATTATATTCCTTATATTTTCGAATGGAAATGCAGAATTTGTGTTTCTAGAAAATTTCTGAGTAGTGTTTTGGACTTCTCTGCATTAAAATAGAAGATGAATGTACGGAGATGTATATAACTGTTTCTAACCAGGCAGGTTAAGTACGAGACACTATCGTAAAATAGGTCACTATACATTCATCGCTCAATTTTCCTGATCCATTATCTTATCTTCATAAGCGTTGTAACAAAATAATGCGATTTGACACCATAGAAACATGCAAGAGGAATATCTGGATTAATGGTGATAGGATTTAAATTGATATTATCAGCTTGAATGGTCATTGAAAAACAGTGTTCTGTGTCTGGCCTTTAGTTTACTATTGGTAAATTGGCATAAGTTTGGACATTGCCTTCAGCTTCGTGCACACAGCTACAGCTCACGACTAATGAGCACAACGCATTTTCAACTTCTGCGGACATAAGGTCATGTTTTCGCTTACAGCAAGAAGTGGACATCTTTCCAGTGCCAAAGTATTCTAAAAATGTTCTATACATTGTTGAGCACAGGGATTTCTACTTCGCAACGAAATGATAAACATAGGACGTAGTAACATAGCATATGAATTGTGCATTTCTTATCCTCTCCATATTCCCAAAGTCTTGGATCAGGTGTAAGGATCCAGTATAATCAGTCATTCCGAGTCTTTGAACTGTGCAATTTATCTGGATTTTCATTTTGTACGTCTTATGAAACGAAACTTAGAATTATAGATAGGGAAGTATCAAACCCAGCAAATTTTCTCAATCGCTTTGAAAACAAAATCTCAAATGAAGATGGCTGTCGTCTGGGTTGTAGCGCCGTCTGCTAGAAGTTTGTCAATGTTTCAGTGGTCCTTGCTGCCTCTGTAACGTTGGCAAACGTCTACCAGACGGTCCTACAACCCAGACGACAGCCATCTTCGTACTCACCCCTGTGAGAACCCAAAATCTCAGATGTTCGCGTTGTCCTCCACATTGCTATTTTTCAGCGCACAAAAGAAGTTTGTTTGGATACAACATTTGCAGATTTTTTTTATTTTTTTTCTTCATCATTCCATATTTCACATACCTAGGTTCAAGTATAATTATTGCTATCAGTTATTGTAGTAGCATGGCGTGTTCGTCATGTTGGTACCTTTTGCCACACACACGTCGTGGTCGAGTTATTAGTACTCCTGCTTCGTATCCTAGGCATCCCGCGTTCACGTCTGCTCTGAGACGGTATATTATTACTGAAGTTCTTCGTGATTTTCTTCAGTTTCTTTAGGCAAGTACCGGGGTAATATAAATTATTTCATTATCCTTTTCAAACATTAAGCATCGACACCATATAGTGTGAGCACTGATAGCGTTGCTAATAAACTATATGTAAGCAAAGTAACACACAGTACGAAATTTGTAGTGTCTATTCAAAATTTTATTTTATCAGTTTCCACTAAGTACAGTATAATAACATTTACGGATCTACTATGTTATTTTTTGTTTTGAAGAAATACTGCCCTAACAGGAAGATGAGTTTCCTGTAAGATGTTTATTATTACATAACTCTTCAGAATTTTTTTAAAATGATAGTTATATATCTACACCAATAGTTTATGTGACCACCATATTATAACTTTTGGACCCTGTCCTGAGCAATATGAATCCAGTGCAGATCTTCGCATCCTATTTATTTAAGATCCATTTAAATATTATTTTCCTATCAACTTCTATATCTCTCACGCACTTTCTTCCTTTCGGGATTTATGACTTATGTCGTATATATTTCGTATCTCATTATGTTCTCCATTCCTTTATCCGGTTCATCCTCCTCGAATTTTTTGTATGAACTTTTGTAAAGATATGCCGATACTAGATTAAATCTTATTAAATCTTCCGTAATATGACGAGAGGGATTGAAAATCTTTTAGCTTAACTTGTTGCATGGGTGTTCTGTTAAATCATGATGCTGATAGAAAATGTTACGAAATTGGAATGGAGACAAACTAGTACTGATATTCACCAGCGACACGAGCTGTACGTAGTCGTCCATAGACAACGCTGTCTGCTTATCTACGCAATAATATACGTATATCTGCCCACTCACACTCTCCCATTCTCATCCACTGCCCACCTATTTTCCTGCCAGCATGTATCACTGGGAGGTGCTTCTTATATGAGTTATCTGGAACAGTATGAAAACGTTTTCGCATGACGAAATTTAGTTTGAAAAGAATGTATTGGTAATGAAGAGACCGACATGTATATGAGCCAAATTTGTGAATCGATAACGAAAGGCACTGTTTGTTTAAAGGTATTTAACATATATCCCGATCTCTAAACTAAACCTTCAAATGGCTGGGCGGGCGACAGACTGGTGAAAGGTTAATTCTGGTCTTTTGGAGATTTGTCAAGGGTTGAACTATAATTTTGCTAAAACATAATTTCCACAATAATG